CTTGTTTCCACCACTGCAAACAGGTAGAAGAACCCAAGAGTACGAAGGCAGCCACCACCCCACAAGGGAGGCATTTGTAGTGATGGCAAGGCTGGCAGCAGGCAGGCAGCAGCAGGATGCACCACGGAGCGCTCACCCCTCCCTCCTGGCTCTTGACAAGTTATAAATAAGGAATGGACAGAGCAAAGCTCCTCCTTTCCAGCAGGTTAGGACTGGGATAGGTAGACAGCTCAGCTATGCAGAGCAGGGTTAGGGAGGAGGTTGCTGCCATAGCAGGACTCTTGCCAAGCCTTTGGTGAATACATAAATTGCTCACCTACCTGTCTAGGCTACAGCCAGTCAGTGTTTCTTGGAAGACACACTGGTTTTTTGGGGGGACTGGGACTGTTTTTTTTCCTCCCTTTTCCAAATTGATTGGTATGGCATATTGGAATAAGGGTTTTTTTGGTTTGTTTGTTGTTTTTTTGTCTCTTTGCCATCTCTGTCAACTTCTTCTTTTCTAAAAATTCTATTTTATTATTTTTAACTCTTTTGTCATGTCTGAGATTTATAAAGCTAGCATCTTGCTGCCTTCATTGGGTTTATTCAATGTCATAACATTTGTTTATAATTCAGCTTTATCAGAGAGAGAAAAAGGGAATTTGCCAGTACCTCTCACATTTCTAGGGTTTTCTAACCAATTTCTTAAGATGTCACGAAGTTTGGATGTCAGATTTGAAGTGACCAAAATGAGGGACATTTTTGCAAAGATTTCTGGAAATCAGCGCCTCTGTAAAATCCTTTTGTTTGGACAGTAAGAATTTAGGTACAAAGATGATCCCTATCTCAAACTTGCAAGTCAACACGCCCACATAGCTCTCTAGAAATTCCCTTCTTTTGTATTCTGACTCCTCTAGGAAGATATCATAGAATCATATTGATATTACCATCATCTTGGCAAAGACGAATGCAAGCCTATACAGGTATGAATCAATAGAATTTCCTAAACCATTTAGGTAATATTCCCAAGAAATCATTTAGGTGACAAGATCTTTGAAGTCATTAAGAGGGACATTAAATATTGCTCTTCTGGAATGTAGCATTACACTTGGAACTCATTTCCAGCTGTGACAGTTCTGAAATTCCCTTTCCACTCCAGAGCTATCTGATTTATTTCATTTGCAATTAATGGTTACCATTTGCTAAGGATGTCAGAGGCATCTCAGATGAATTTGGTGGCCACAAGTTTATCTAGATCAATAATAACCTATCTCTGCAATGTAAATGCTTTTTTATGTGACAGTTGCATGAGGTTCACCCTCTGGCACTCAACAATAACAGCTACACATACCTTCAGCAGCACCAGGCGCTTCTCTGTCACTGGCGTTGCTCTGAAGCCACATGTAGAATAACAAAAATGCAGCTGAAGTTCACAACAGCCCATAAGGACTCACCTCAAGTAAGACACAGTGCACAGACACCAGGAGGATCTGACCAAAGAAGATCACCATTTCTTCAGGTTACGCTTTGCATCTCTTCAGTGGGAAGCACTGACAGACCAATACATTTGGGTAGGGATGCAAACAACCACAAATGAACATTTCAATTTAGGTGTAATAGCAAAAGAGCCTTAGCTGTGAGCTGCTCTTTGATACATGCTGCTGATGCTCATTATCCCAAGGTGATATGGTTTATCCTGAGGGGAAATGGTTTTAAACTGAGACAGGGGAGGTTTAGGTTAGATATTAGGAGGAAGTTTTTCACACAGAGGGTGGTGACACACTGGAACAGGCTGCCCAAGGAGGCTGTGGATGCCCCATGCCTGGAGGCACTCAAGGCCAGGCTGGATGTGGCTCTGGGCAGCCTGGTCTGGTGGTTGGTGACCCTGCACATAGCAGGGGGTTGAAACGAATTGATCATTGTGGTCCTTTTCAACCCAGGCCATTCTGTGATTCTATGATTCTATGATCCCAGACAGGCCAATTGACCGATAGACAATGAGAAGGAGAAGAAGTGACATAACAGTGTAGGTGCTTTCAGAGATGCAGATCCTCGGAAATGGCGCCCACTGGCTTCCTGGTAACCTTGAAGACTTTGCTCATTTCTGTGCTCTGCTGCTGAAAAGCTGTGCTTCCCATTCTCTTTGCATCCCACATCAGCCCAAGTCAACTCTTTCAAAATACCAACACTTAAAAATCCTTTTCCACTGCTTTCATAGGTCACTCAGTTCTCAAATGATGCCAACTAATAGCATTGGGATGATAAAAGGCATAATTGGGAAACAAAAGAAAAGAAATGACTGCAGTACAGGCAGAGGCTTTCCAACTGGTGGCACAGCTGTCAAACATGCAGCTATGGTGGGACCAGCAGCCAGCTGCTGGTGATGGAGCTGGGAAAAGGCTGAGATGATACTTGCAGGTAGATCCCACTGTGGTCTTTGCACAGAGCCTAGGACCCTGCAACTCCTGCAGTGAAAGTCTCCTTTGCTCAGTGTAGCTGTCCTGAGCCCAGGCAAACTCTGAGCATCGTGCTCTCTCTCATGCACTTGAGTTTAGAGAACTAGGTGCCTGTTATGTGAATGTTTACTGCCAAGGTTTTACATTTGAATAGGACATAACTTTCTTTAGAAGTTAACGCTCTCAGAATGAGATTGTATACAGTTCAGTTGCTTAAATCAGCAACTTGCATAGCTTTGTAGATATTTAATGACCAGATACAGGGAAAATTTTATCCAGGCATATATAACTTGCTGTCTATTTGCTTTTTTGCGACTAAAGACTTCTGTTATATGTTTAACAGAAGTCTATGGATGTGGACTCACACAATTCAAAGTACTTTGAGCTTATGGGGAAGAGGAAGTGTCTAATTGTGAGCTGGCACGTGATGACACTATAGGCATATAAACTGTGTTATGTCCTAGTTTTCCTATTGCTTCTCATGCCTGTGATTGGGTCCTGGCTGCTCAGTGCCAGAAAAACCACTCAAAATCCAAATAGAAAGTTAACTTCCTTGTCTTGTACTGTAAAATTTATTTGTGTAGCAGGAATAATGTATAGACACCAGCATCCTATATCAGAAATGTGTTGTAAGCCTGGTAAACGCCTTAGCTTGGCTTCAGTATTTACTAGATCTGGCACCCTGTATACCCTTTGCATCCACATATTAACACTTAATTACCTTGTCACATCATTAAAACCAGGCACATTTACATTCCGGAGAGGTGCTGTGGAGGTGAGTCAGAAAAAGATGAAAGAATGGTTGTTTTGTCCTTGCATCAGGAATATTTCTGGGAAGTTCCCCTCTGGCAGTGAGGTAATAGGATCAAGTCTGTCCCTTTGTTCAGGATCTTTTCAGCAGCAGGGTTGGACACTGGCTTCTCTGAGACTTTCTGTCTTTCTGAAGGCTAAAATTAGTGCATGACTGAGTTTTGAAGTTTTGTAATGAGGAGCAATATTTACAGGTCTGAAGGGCGAATATCTTGAGGACCATTTTGTGCACAAGCCATGAAACATGACCAAAGAAAGTGGAGCTTTCTTTTGAAGTACATCAGGAACAATTTGAATAATTAATCTACTAAAACCTAGACTCGTGCCACCTAATGATGATAAATTAACTGGAATACCTCAGTTAACCTCATGATGGACATAAGGTCAATCAAGAGAGATTTTGGATATGCTAATCTGCATTGGCTAGCCTTTAGTTCCTTCATGTTAGCTGTCATGAATTCAGAGATGAGCACTTGAATTAAATTACCTTCTATTAAAAGCCGGCTTGTATTCTCCACTGAGCAGAGGATGAGCTGCTGCTCAAGCAGATCAGCTCTCCAGTTCCCTCTGCATCTTTCTGAGAGCAATACAGATCTCATTCCTAAACCCTCATTCTTGGTCCATCTGCTATGGAAGTTTAGGGTCTGTGCTGCAACCCAGGTTGGGGGATTGATCCACCTGCTTCCTGATGGACAGGCCCAGGTAGACTGCCCTCAGCTGGTACTGCCACCAAACCTGGAGCGGTGCTGAAAGCTATCCCAAGGGGACAAGGAGCACCTGTAGTAAAGCTGGAAACTGAGTTACACCCTCCCAGATTTCACACCACTCTTTAACCAAGCCATCTTTCCCCTTCCTCTGTTCTTCCCCGCACCCCGGCCATGAACACGTGAACTGCAAAAACCTCACACTGGCAAAAAGCAGTTTCACTTGCACTTTCTGCTTGTTTTCTGAAATGTAGCAGTAGTAAGTAGAAGGTAGGGCTCACTTCATAGATTTGGTCACACAAGCTGTATTTGAATTAGTTGAATCTTTTGAGTTCGTACTGATAGATTGGGAATGTGAAAAACCATCTTATCTCTATGGCTTTCACCATTTCTGCTTGCAGTTCTGCTGGTGACTTTAGTGAGAAAGGCTTTCTTGACAGTTGTTCAGATAGCATTACTGCAAAATAATATCCTGCATGCAGCTCTGTGCAGACATTCTCCTTGCACAACAGCTACTTTGGTACATTAGAATTTGCAGACAAACCCTGAGCCAAGGTGTGACATGTAAAGAGAGCTCCTGCTATGTCAGAACCAGATCACAGATACTTTCTTTTCCAGCATGTTCTTGAAAAGAATCCTACCTCTGCCACATTGAGGATGTAGGGAGATTCCAGAGCTGATTTTAGACTAGAAAAACTGCTACTATGCTGGACAAAAAGCGACCTGTAAACAGGTGCTATAATAGGAAGAAAGACCTTTAGCACCGCATGAAAGGAGGTACTAGTTTGAAGAGATTATAATAAATTGCCAAATAGCCTGGGCAAGTGAAACACATTCAGCCTCAAAAACCATTAAAGAACAACTGAAAAAAAAGAAGTTTTGATCCTAATTAAGAGAAGCTTCTTATGTATGGTAACTCATGTAACATCTGCACTGCTAAAACAAGGCTAATACCTCGACAGAACTTCAAGGCACACTATTTATGAGTTTTTATAGTGATGCCCATGGTAGCACCTAACAAACATGAAAGAGCTTAACTTTACGTCATCACTGTGGGGCAGAGTGTGTTTATTAACCCTATTAAACAAATGAGGAAAGAGGAAGGTTAGGTAACTTCCAGGCACTCGTGAGGGACTGCAGCTGTGTCTTCTGGCTCCCAGTCCGGCACTGGGATCAGCAGCCCTCCTGCCTCCCCACTCTGCATGAAGACAATGGAGATGGGGTTCTTGTTGGACTTTACCTCTTCACAGGAACAATGTTTGCATTGTGAAACCCCTTCATACTCACCTTTGCTGCCAGCTTGTTGGAACACCATCACCAAAGTGTCTTGTCTCTCCTCTGAGCAGCTCTGCTGCCTGCTCACTCTCCTCCATCTACTCCAAGAGCACCATGGGCCTCACTTCCATCTCACCTCATGGCATTGACCTACTTACTCTGGAGAGAAACAGGCTCTTTTGTTTTCCTCCTATGAGATCATTGCCCCATTTTCTCTCTGGATAAATATAGGAATTGTGGTGAGAAACCTCAGCACTGGGAAATTAACCCAGACTGTTTAATGCTGATAGCATGGAAAACAGTATTGAGCACTGTGGGGGAAAAAAAGAAAGAAGTGATGCCATTGTGTCTACACAAGTAGCTTCCAAATTGTACCTTGCTGTAGACTCACCTCTGTCAGAAAAGCCATCCCCAAGAGTAGTGTAGATCCCCAAATTTCCAGCAGGCTTTCTCCACATTCTTTGGAGTCTGCTGATTGAATGTGGGGGTGATTTGTGTGGTGATTTGTGTGGCTAGCAGAAGTTGCCTGCTGTCCTGACATCTCCTTCCATCCAGTCCCTCCATCTGAAAATAGCAAGTGGGGAAAATGTCATGACCCTGAAAAGGCCTGGATGACTGCCCACAGTGAGATGATTTATAGGATCTGCATGTGACTGCCAGAACTTGTAAAATATTTCAACTGTGTCTATGAGGCTTTGCAATAAAGACCAGCCCTGTTGCTCTTCACTGACTCTGGTTCTTTCTATTTAAAGAAGCCTACACTACAGCTGGAGTGCCATGACACAGAGCGAAAACCTTTCAGGCCTGGCATTAAAAAGGAGAAGGCACAGTATGTGGAAAGAAAAAACAATCCTTTCCCTTCCACCAACCAAATTATTCTTCTGAGTAACCCAACTGCACTGGAGCGATCACCTTGAAGATTTTGCTGTGGCCTTCCAAAACATCATTTGCCTTTGTTTTGACATCAAAAGCTAATATTAAATCTTACATAGTTCCTTCTGAAGGTTTCTTCTCTGCCTAGCTCTTACTCAGTCTCTCCTTTCCACTGCCAGGGATGATGTGGTACAAGCAAGACATGCAGGAGGCAAGATGAACATGGGTTAAGACCCTGGTGTTGAGTCAGAACTCCTGTCATCCTTGCAAGTAAGGGCTTGTACACATCATGGAAAGGATGCAGCCTGGTAAGCCCTCACCATGTACACAGGACTGAGTAAATTTGCCAGTTCATTTGCAGATCCTTCTCTGGAAGGGTTGTGAAGTGAAAGACAAGTGTGCCTTTGCAACTGTGGCTGCCCCAGGCTGCTGGAGTGCTGCACTGTACTACACTTCTGTTTCTGAAAATGGGAATAACTCGGAGTCACCTCAGCTCTGCCTACTCCTGCTGATGCTGACATGGTGCAGGTGGAGCTCCCTCCTCTCCCCAGCCAGGTTAGTGGTTCACATGGGCATCTACATGAATCACACAGTGCCCAAGAAGCCTCCTCCAGCTCCTGCAGGTCCTAGGGCAGATCACGTGTTCACAGGCTGTATGCTTTGGAAATAAAAAGTAGACATCAAAACCCAAATTTGAGTGCTTGACAAAACAGCCTGAGCCTCAGAAGTGCTGAGCAACCTTCCCCAGTGGAGGAGACCTGGTTTTAGCTGACTAACTGTAAGCATTCAGTTACCCTTCACTTCTCTGTGTGCTCATCTGCAAAGTCGGGATCATTATATCTGACTCCCTCTCCAGGTATTTGGAAGCTAATTTAGTTAATGCTTGTTAAGCACTTTAAGGTCTTCAGATGAAAGGAGCCGCAGATAGGCAAAGCACTGCTACTACTATTAATTATTTCTATTGTGCAAGTAGACATGAAAGCAGCAAAGGTGGTGATTACTTGCTTCCTTTACAAGTGGCAAGACACAGAGCAAATACACAGACAGAGACCCTCCCTGCCCTGCAGCTCTCCTAATCTCAGCAGCCAGATAAACCAGACAAAGGGCAGGGAAAGGAGCATCAGCCCAGGGAAAGGCAGTGCGTGCAGTGTCATACTGCACACGTATTTTTGGCAACAGCTGCTTTTAAAATGTGCCCTGTTAGCCAAAAAGGACGATATTGCCTTTCTAGGGTACTAAAAGTCATAAGTCGGGCTCTCAAGAAGATTTTCTATTTCCTTTCAAGAGATAGTAAATCTACTTTATTTGACGTCTAACTTTTGAGCAAATCAGATTTTCAAGATTTTCTCTGCAGACAAGAAAAGTGAAAACGTTTCACAGACAAAGAAATGCTGACATTTTCAATATGCAAGTTTCAGTTTGGAAGCATCAGGCACATTAACAGCACCACCAGTTCACTGCCAGCTGGCTGCTGTGCAGGAAGGACATGCGTGTGAAGGACAAACTGGATGGCAGCTTGTCCTCCCTCCCACAAGCCCAGTGAGTTCATCACCTGTCTTGGATAGACAAGGAGGCTGTGACAATTTGCTCTCTATAGTGATGAGACTCTGCAGTGATTTGTTCATTTATCTAATGCCTAATACAGGCAGACATATGGAGGAGAGCAGAGCAATACCAAATATCTCACAGCCAGATGTTGACATTTGGCTGCAAAAGGACTCAGTGGAAAGCAGAGCCAGTGGTGCTGTGGGATGGGGATGCTGGGGTGGGGTCCGCTGATGGAAACCATCACAGCTTTCCTTCAGAGCAAGAGGATCATGAAGGCAAAGCTTGGACAAGGGGGCACCAGTTGGCACCTGCCTGCTTCTCCTCCTGCAGGGATGGCTTCAACTCGTCTGTGGAAGGAGCTTGTAGCTGGATCCACAATGTCCCGGGGGAATCCAGCATCCTCTGAACTCCTGCTGTATGAACCCAAGTGGTTTTCCTGTTTGCTTTATCTCAAGTAGAGGCACCCAGTTCATTTGAACCAGTTGGTGAACATGTCTGGGACAACATCAGATCCGTTTTTTGGTGAGCTGTGTGAGGAAGATGCCTGAAGCTAACACCAGATATGTGCTGTTATAACAGTTCTTAAAAGAATCCCAGCCTCCTTCACAACCAGTGCTTATAAGGAAGTGGCACCAATGTTTCTGCAAGGTCATAGGTGGATGTATCCTTACCTCATGACAGCCATACACCATAATGCAAGCATCATAAGGAGATGAAAATAGCTTTAAAAAGCTGAACCAGCTGTCCACCATGCACTTTTTCAACTTTCTGCATTACATCCTTTAGCTTGCACTAGGCTGAACACTGACGATGCATTTCTTGTCTAAATAAGATGAAGGCACAAAAACCTGGGAAAGAACAGGGTGAGATGTGACTCCTGGAGAAAGCCCTCCAGGTTTTCATTTTTTAAATGTGTGTGGATTCATCTTTCCGAGCTCTTTTACGACCCTGTCTCCACCCAATATCCTCCCACTCTGGATTCTTTCCCAGTCTTTGCAGACCTGCCATCATGGCAGAGTTAAATCGCATCCTGCCCTTACGTCAACTTTGGCCCATGTCCTAAGAAAAAGAGCCAAGAAATGAAATCAGTGTATGCCAGACTCTTTGTTCATCTTTTTTAAGTCTTCTCCATGCTGGCTGTGGAACAGTAGTAGGGCTGAGCCATGAAATGGGGACCAAAACCCACGGCAGCACAGAACCACCTCTATGGACATGACACGGCGATGGGCACAAAGGGCAGTGCAGCTGCTTCTGAGCCGCACTACTGTGCTGCTGTCTTGTCTTCTCTCTCTGATATACCACAGTCCTTCCCAAAACCACACAGCCACAGAATCTCTGGAGTCACCTGGTTCAAGACCCTCCTGCAGCAGGGCCACCTGGAGAGGCTGCTCAGAACCATATCCAGCCATCTTTAGGGATGGAGATGATATGCCTCTAAGGATGAGATGTGTGAATACATGGAGACAGGCAGGCCACTCAATTTCAGAAGGGACCTATAATTATACCTACTTTCAGTATCAAATTTTACACAACAAAAAAGGTGCCTACAGTCTACCTTCTACCTTCACCCTCTGGAAAACTCCTGAAACTGCCTTCCAGTGGTGTTGACAGAAACAGCAAAGTCTAATTAGCTTGAAGATGGAGATTGCTTCATTTCTCTGAAAGTTCTGTGATGCAGTTATCTGTGCAATCAGAGAATCACTTTTAGAAGCCAAGCACTTTGGAAAGTATTGCCCTAATTGCCTTGGGCCGTTCTGTTAGAGGTGGCATGTAAAGATGTAAAATATCCTTTTGACATTCTGTTGGCCCATACTAACCACTCCAGGGGCAGAGGAGATGCACTATACTTTCTTCAACCAGCTGGAAAAAAAACAGACAGATCTCTGGACTTGAAGAGCTGATGCATTTCCAAAGGCTCACCCATTTTTTCCCACATATATCTATTTCTCCAATGCAGGCTTAAATGAGCAGTAAGTAGATGCTGGCAAGCAGTAATTCTGCCTAGAAACCTGGCCTTGTTTACATGTTTGAAACATCACATCACAGTTACACCAGCACAATCAGGATTGATTTTCTTTTTTTTTTCTTTTGGCATCAAACCAGATGGGGACACTGGAAGGCAGGACAGTCCCCTCAGAATAACAAGATACAAAGTGATCACTCTCAGCCTACAGGCTGATATGCTCTCCTCTCTATGCTTCAGTTGCTGTCACAGGTGCCTCAGCCTCAAACTAGGTTTTCAATTTCCCCAGTCAAGTTAAAGGTTTCTCCTTCTGACCAGAAATATCAACCTGAGCTACAGACATCTTCCTTCCTGATAGTGTCAAACAGTTTTCAAGCACAACCAGCAATTTTTAACAAAACATAGATTTCATAGAATCATAGAATGAATTGGGTTGGAAGGGACCCCAAGGATCACCAAGTTCCAACTCCCCTGGCACATGCAGGTACTGGATCAGATTGCTGTGAACAATCCAGGGATTGTTCCAACCTGGCTGTGAACACCTCTGGGGATGGAGCATTTACAGCCTCTCTGGGCAGCCTGTTCAGCACCTCACCAGTCTCTCAGTAAAAAACTTCCCTTTGACATCAGATCTAAATCTTCCCTCCTTTAGTTTAAAACCATTCCCCCTTTTTCTATCACTATCTATCCATGTAAAAAGTTGACTTTCCTCACATTTACAAACTCCCTTTAAATACTGGAAGGCTGCAGTGAGGTCTCCATCATCCTGTCTTTGTAGGCGAGGTGCTCCAGTCTTCCGATCATCTTCATGGCCCTCCTCTGGACCCTTTCCAACAGCTCCACATCTTTCCTGTGTTGAATGCCCCAGACCTGGACACAATTCTCCAGCTGGGGCCTCATGAGGGCAGAGTAGAGGGACACATTCACCTCCCTCACCCTGCTGGCCACTCATCTTCTGATGGAACCCAGGATGTTATTGGCCTTCTGGCAGTTTCTGTAACATATTCCCAATGTTTGCTCCTCATTAGTGATGGCTCTGTGAGAGAAAGATCAAGTTAGGAAGAGAGAGGAGGAATCAGCATAAGAAGTAACATTTCTCCCATTTAACCAGGTAACCAGGGGTATTTCCAATGGATCCTGTTTTTAGCTCCTCATTCACTTGCACTGAGCACAGACTGGGACAAACCCCAGTGAGAAAACACAGGGGTGAGAAATGCCTCTCAGCCAAAACCAGAAAGTAGTGTTGCATGAAACCAGCAAAATGAAAGCACAAACCTCTAATTATTTTAATATTGGAGAGCGACGTTGTTGCTCGGTGTGAGGTGCACAAACAACCCCTGGCCACAGGTCATGGTTCACTAGCATTTCAAAAAACAGGGGCACTGGCACCATGCTTTCCCTGGATAAAACAGCTGGGTAACAAAATAAAATGAGCTTTGGAATAAAACCAACATGCATATATCCACACAAGAGGTGGGTAATTGCTTTGCTGGGTGGTCTTTGCCAGATGTCATTTCAGTACTGTTCCCAACACCCCAGCGTACAGGAGATCCTATGCAGAGCATCAGCTGTGCAAATCTAGGGTGCTCTGGGCACAGAGACTGATAGCCACAGGGCTCATTCCCAACAGACTGTCTCCTGGTGGTGACATGAGTGTCCCTAGAGGCAATGATGTGCCAGAGGGTGAAAACCTGTGCTCCTGATACTCCTGGATACAGGCAGGCCTGTTAGCTGGTGCCTGCCCCAGAACAGTAGGGCCAGCTGGGGCTCAATGCCCAGCCCACAGACCTGCTCAGGGCCAGCTCACCTCTCCTGGCAGCAGTTTGACTGGGCACAGTGGTTCTTCCTCAAGAAAACCTCCTTTTCCTTCAAAGTGTCATGGGAAGCAGCAACAACAGATTGTTTGTGCCCTGGTCCCAAAGAGGAATACACTGAACTGAGTGGAGCATCGCTGTGCACTTGGGATAACTCTCTGACTTCACTTGGAACTTATACTCAAATAAATGGCAGCAGAACTGCCTGGCTCCTTTTTACACAGAGTATCAACAACAAAAAAGCATTTTCTGATTAGTGCTGCATCTGCACTCCAAGTGGGACACATCTATTAATAGAGTAAGTGGGCAGTCAGATACGCCCTTCAGAAATGCATGCGGCCGCAGATCTTCAGTTTCTAACTCACACGTTGCACCACCCAGGGAAACTGTAATGCTGGATCTGTTCTCATGCCTAGCTTGATGAACAGGAGCATTTGCATATTTACATCTCTTCTCTACATGTGCTATAAAATGAAACCGGAAAATTAACTAAGAGTTTTTGGCTAAAAGGATAGAAATAAAATGAGGACCAGAGCTCATGCACAGTGAGTCAATATAATCAGGAGGCATCGATCAGTGGAACACAGAATGCTTTCATTGCCTTCAAAGTCGATACTGCAGAGGGAAAAATAGATGTACACAATTGTAAACACTCAGCCACAAAACACTTCACAGACAGCATTCAGTTCTTATGAATATTTTATGGGTTTTGGTGTTTTGGATCGTATTTTATTAGTTCATTTTTCCACTTCTCTAGTCTGTCACTTCAGAGAAGTTGAACACTTACAAAAAACCAGACAAGAGCGGAGCTAAGCTCTCTGATGCTAATACAGTCTTCACTTTGGTGACTGAAAACATAGGATTAAACATCCTGTGCTCTGCCTCATTCTGTGCTACTTACTCTTCTTTTCTCAGTGGAAAAGTCTTCAGCAGGCATAAAATGGGCCTGCTCCTATATTCTTAATGCCTTTCCCTTTGAGGTCACAGGGAAAGGGCTAGATTTCTGCATTTTAAGCTAGGCAGAGACTGTTCAGTACTCATCAAAGACTGAATGCAGATCTTACTCAGTAATCTGCAATTCTGAACTGCAAATCTACACATAATCCTGAGGCAGTAAGACAGAACTGTGTTTAATACAGCTCATCAGTATATTTATTTTTCAGTAATGGCTTGAAGCCCTTGTCATTGGCTGAGCACTTGAGCACAAAGCGCTGCACAAACACCAATGACAACACTGAATTTGTCCCAAACAGTTCTAAATCTCTGCAGCAGTACAAAAGACAACAGCTTTCTGTAGCTAATGGAAAAAACACAGTACAATATTTGTTCTGCTCATTACACTTGTTTGAAAAACTATAAAGTGTTCTGTGGCAAATGGCACTGAGAAATATCTGAGGTTAAGAGACAGTTGAGTCCAGGTATCAAGTCACCTAGACGCTAAATGATGTTATAGATGAAGATAGGCTGTGGAAAATGAAAGGAAGAAATTTCCAAAGGTCAGCAAAGGAACACAGAGAGAACACAGTTTTGATGAGAAAGTGCAGGGGTGAACCTTGCACACCATCCCAGAGGTCTATGAACTGGGCAAAATAAGAGAAAAACAGAATCCAAGTCACAGATTCTGACCCCAAATGAGATCTTTAGCTAGATGAGAATAGGAAAGATAGGATCTTAGAGATATTGTAAGAGTCTACCAAAACTCCAAGCAATCAGGATATGAGACTTAAGAGGAGGTTCACCTTAAGTATCATTATGAACTTTCCTTATTTGCTTCTTAACTCATTACAAAAGCTGACAATCTTCCCCAGCTGGCCCACCTGGCAGAGTAAACTGCTGATGGTCTCCAAGTTGTTCTAAACTGAAGTCTTTAAATGACAGACCTTTTGTTTTTGTCCTGTCAGACTATCTGAAACTTACTTGCAAATTTTAATTTTTCCGTTCATTCATTGTTTCTTTCCTGTGAGTTTAAAGCACAACCAGGGGAAATGTGATTAAATATTGTGGCTACTGATGGTATCTGAAGTTTGAGGCATGGATTCAATAGTTCATCTCAGTTCATTACCACCTCTTGTGCAATTTATACCATAAATAATTTTATTTGCCTGAGATTACTCTATGGACTTTTCAAGATTTTCAATACAGTTGAGTAAGGATGATTACAGCTTTTCTTGCACCCTTTGCTGCTGGTTGTATTAAGCATGCAGCCTGGGATCTGATGTCCCAGGCTTTGCCATGTGTTTTTGTAGCCATGCTGCCACACTGGTTGTCCTCATGGATGAGGTCCATCTGACTGCAAGATCCAAACATCTGTAGTTCATGTATTTCACAGAATTGCAGAGGTTGGAAGGGACCTCAAGAGATCATCGAGTCCAACCCCCTGCTAAAGCAGGTTCCCTACAATTGGCCACACAGGTAGGCGCCCAGATGGTTCTTGAATATATCCACAGAAGGAGACTCCACAACCTCTCTGGGAAACCTGTCCCAGTATTCAATCATCCATACTGTAAAAAAGTTCTTCTGCATGTTTGTTCAGAACTTCCTATGTTCAAGTTTTAGGCCATTACTCCTTGTCCTAATGCTACACACTGTCAAGAAGACCCTGGCTTCATTCATTTGCCTCCCACCTCCCTTCAGATATTTATAAGCATTTATCAGCTCCCCTGTCAGCCTTCTTTTCCCCAGGCTGAACAAAGCCAGGTTACTCAGCTTTTCCTCAAATGGGAGATGCTCCAGGTCCTCATCTTTGTGGCTCTCTGTGGATCTCTTCCAGGAGATCCGTGTCTTTTTTGAACTGGGAGGCCTAGAATAAGTATTTGAACAAACCTGCAGTAGTTTCTTAAATAGGTTGAGTGATTTTTTTTCCTCGAAAGAGTTTTTTCACCAGGAATAAACATAGCCTAAGATGGCGTGTACCTTGCAGACATCTAAAGTCACGTGAGTTGGATTCCACCCAAAATGACCAAACTTTCATAGTGTGAAACTTTTTCCAAAGATGAGCCCAGGCTACTAACAGAAGAATGAGGCAGATTGTGTGTGAACGTTCACAAAAACTCAGTTTCTTCCCTGAAAAAGTATTATCTGCACAAAAGCTATCAATCCATCTTCCCTTTGGGGCTGAAAGCATAGTGTTTTGGAGTAAAGCCAAAGCCAAATTTTAACAGATGAAGCCTGTTGTGCAGAAGACAACTCTGCACCAACGGCTGGACATTACTGCACCATTTTCTTGTGCTTTGACCACATTTTCTCCAATGCAGAGCTTGCTCCCTTTTGTGCTTTTTCACCTCTCCTCTCCTCTTCATATTCTCACAGCTGAAAGGGTTGTGGCAGCACAGAGGGCTCCACGGATCCCAAATTTGTGTCCTGGGGCACCAAGGCATTGACCACTGGAACACTGCCCTCAAATAATCAATTGGACAGGGTGGCACGCAAGCACTGCGCTGGCCAACCAGCGGCAAGTTGGGGTATTTCCTCACTCTCTGGAGAGGAACCACTGTTTGTTTAATAGAGGTCAACACCTGAAAACATTGCTGTGCTCTTTTGGGCTGCCACACTCCAGGAGAGAGGAGCTGGGAAGCTGGACGCCGACTGTGGGAAGCTCTGGGGCCTGGAGGCCATTTTGGTTCTGGTAAGCACAGGTGTTTGCCTTCTTCCATTTGTGTTATGAAGCAAAACCTTCTAAAACCCTAGCTAACAATTAGAAGCTCACTCTTGCTGCCTTGCCTAACAAAGCTGCAGACAGAGAGTGCTTTTGTTTGCTGAATTAATAAAGCATTTTGAGTGCTTCTGGCAATCCAGAGTGTTTTCCTAAGCCATAATAACATGGCCATATCATCTGATGTGTGCAGGTAGAACAGCTGCATTGATTCTGGCACTGAAGGCTCTCATTAGGTCTGGTAATTGTGGCAATTCTCCTTTCAGCAGGAAGTGGTGTTGAGATAGGTCAGGGCTGGAACCCTCCCAGAATAAATCTGCACTCTTCCAGCCTAAGCGATGCTGTGCTCCTGTGCACCGGGTGAGAACCAGGCCCTGCGGCTACGAGCGAAAGATGCTCCCCAGCAAGTCTCAGCTAAATGGGAGGAGGCAAGGCTGTGCCTGTGCTGTGCCTGTGCTTGCTTGCTTCTCTCTGTGAGGGTGCAGATGAGGTTGGGCAAATGTTTGGAAAAGCAAATGTGGGAACAAAGTGAGAAAGTGAGCAGGAAAAGATCAGCATAAAAATGCATTGGGTATTTGGATAAAGACAGTTAAAATGTCCAGTATTTTTTCCATCCCCTCCCTGCTTCATCCTTCCTTTACACATTGTCTGTTTGGTTAGATTTTTATCTTTTGAAGCCGGTTGTTTTCTTTTCATCCAGATGCTTGCAAAATGCCTTGTCCAAATTTGAGCATTATATAAACAGGCAATGACCATAAACTAAGAAACACTTCTGTTAAATGTTCCTTTCTGAAATAGTTTAATGCTGGATAACTCATTTTAAGGCTGGATTAAAACACATAATGTGATTATGAAGTACTCAGAAGATAATGCAGATAAGCAGAGTGCTCTTATTAGATTCATAGTCACAGAGATCAATTTTTTGCTGTATTGCTGTAGAAATGCAAACTCAGAAGTCTCTGGCAATCTCAAAGACCTTGCAGCAACATCCTGCATCCCTCCAAATCAGAGGTCTGTCTTCATGCCTTACCTCATTTTTTCCGCTGTTTTCATTCTGTCAATGAAGCTGGGTTCAGTACGCCTCTGGTTTTCTCAAATAGGTTCCTGCTCTGTCCCATTTGGGCCTTTTGCTTGGGAACACAACCCAGACTGATTTATGTACTCCCAGCCTGCTTAATACCCTCCCAACATGAACTTTTGACACAGAACTTGCAGAATTAGCCAATGCACATGACTAAATTGAGGCACATTTCATTGTTTACCACCTTGGCTATTGTAAAAGCTATTTGCACATAACAAACGAAGGCATACTTGTGTGCACAGGTGTGTGTGCATGAATAACACAGTGTACCAAAAGGATGGGTATCCAAATCACCTTCCTTCTTCTATAACTTGTTCATCATAAACATGATGAACATGGATGAACATTGATGGCTTTGTCAAAAGCCATCAACTTTCTCTGAGGGCAGAAACTTATAGATTTAAATGTTGCGGTTTTATGCATTTGAAAGCCTTAAACTGTAACGAAGTGATGATAAGAACCGTAGAATGGTTTGGTTTAGAAAGGACTTCAAAGATCATCTCCTCTAATGCCCTGTCAAGGGTAAGGACATCTCTCACTAGATCAGGCTGCCCAGGACCCCACGCAACCTGGTCTTGAACTCTTCCAGGGATGGGGTATCCACAGCTTTTTTGGGCAATCTGTTCCAGTGCCTCACCATGAAAATTTTTTTTCTAATATCCAATCTAAATCTACCCTCTTGCAATTTAAAACCGTTGTCCCTTGTCTTGTCCCTACGAGCCCTGGTAAAAAGCCTTTCTCCGTCTTTCTTATAAGCCCCTTTTAAATACTGAAAGGCCACAATAAGGTCTCTCCAGAGCATTCTTATCTCCAGGCTGTACTTCCTGATCATGAAGAAGTTGTGATCAGCTTGTTCCATAAAGTTAACGGCAACGTGAAAGTTCAGTAACCCAGTAACCTCCTTTCCAGGAGTCTGAATCTCCCAGTCCTTCTTGGAGAAATGTATATGGATCCAGATCTGTACTGATCGGCCTTGTCTTTGGCTATAGATCGCAGCTTGGGTGTAGTAGGAACCGGAGTTGTTTGGTTTGGTCAATGGGAATCTAATAGCAACCTACACTACTACTGGAGGGAGTGACAAGGGTGATGGAGTGGTAGGAGAGGATAAAATAAGGAGCAACAGAAGTGTTTCCAGCTTGTGAAGTTTATGTAAGACATGAGGAAAGATGTATTCACTCAGATGATGTGGCAGTCCTGCAATGAATCACCAAAAGTAATGATCTTAACTCCATGCTTGGGGGTTTTCAAGGCTCAGCCACGCAAAGTTAGGACCAGTGCAGATACCTAGTGTTGGTGGCAGCCCTGATTTCAGCAGGAGGTTGGGCTGGAGACCCGCAGAGAGATCTCTTCCAACCAGAGCCTTATCTGTGATTATTCTTTGATTGCAAAAAGTGATTCTTTGGGTTTAAAAGAAAAAATGTTGAGCACTGTAAAATATTAAGCTGCAGTTTTACACATTAAGGCAGATCTCTGAAAATGAGGTGAGATGACTCTCTGACCTACCCTTAGCATGCAATTAGATGTGCTTACAATTTTTCCAGATACGTTATTATGGGTGCCAAACAGATTCATAACCCATAGTCTTATCTACCCTTATCTGTAGATATATCATGTCACAGGAAACAGCCATGAAAGTTTATCCACCTTACTATCTCTATAGTTTTGACTGAAGTCAAAATCTGCCAGGTAGGGTATTCATTTGTATGGCCACAGTGGTGTTCCCAATGTTCTCAATGTTCCCAATGGTCAGGCAATCACCCATCAACAACTGAAATATAACTCTCCATCCATTTCATACCAACGTCTGTTTATTCCTGGTAATTTTAAATAAATCTAATTTAAACAATCCAGTTTGGAACAATTCCATTTTAAATAAAGGCTATGAAGAGAACTGGCTTTGTATGACAATATTGCACATGTCAGTCTTAACTAGAACATTTCTTGTTTCACAACTGATTCCTCTTTCCCTGAGAAGGAAAACGGCTGAAATTCTGTGCCTCCAGTGCAGCAGTAATCCAAACCTTACTGCATCTTTCCCCAGCAGGGAGTCACCATGTGCACAGGGAAGTGTTCGAGGTGCATTGGGATCACCCTGTTCCCGCTGGCTGCGTGTGCTATAGTCTCCAACATCCTCCTGTTCTTCCCCAATGGACAAGTTCTGCAGATCAGTGAGATAACTGATCTGGTCTGGTTTTTCCAAGGCATTCTGGGAGCTGGAATACTGGTAAGAGAGAAGAGTTTCCTCTGCTTATGTTTTGTAGAACTTCTGTTAATGTAACACAAATCATGTTAGTTCCTTTTCAGAAACATCCGAGTAGGTTAACTGGGAAGGTAGAGTGCAGAGATGAGAAAGTGCATTCAAGACTAAAGAAGTCCCAGCTCCTGAAATAAACATCAGCTTCTTCAGATCATGAGTAAGACTGCCTTTCCAGTGTGAAGAACAGTGATGTGGGTGATCATGTCTTTGCAGTCGAAGCACAGATGAGGTCCTAAGCTAGTCACAGGTGGTGAGCTTTCACCTTGGATACAATCCTTCCTTATTCCTCTCACTGATTTTATTCTCGCAGAACCTATCTAAAAATATTAAGGGCAAAACTGAAATGTGTTTTGGTAGGTGTTCATTAGTGACCCAGCCACCATTGTGTGAATGTGGAGCTGAAAAGGACTTGTATGCCAAATGCCTCCCACACTCCTTCATACTCAGCTCCTCTTGGATTTGACCTGGTTTGTGCGTGCTGTTCTGTGACCAGTTCTCCATTCCAAGACTCAGAAAAAAATTGAATATCCATAACCAGAAGGGAACACATTTGGGAACAGCGATATTTCCAGTTCATTAGAAGCCTACTCTGTGCATGTTCTTTCAGTTATCCACTCAGGTGCAGACAAAAAGCTGAGCAAGTGACATGAATATGACAAGCAGTGGATGACATGTAGCCCAGACAGATGGTAAATTGGTGCAGAGACGGCTACCTGCACATCAGAAAACCAAATGTTTAGAAATAATTAACTTAGAAAGATGTAAACCTTATTCAGTTGGGCCAGCTAGCACTTAAGTCTATAGAAAGCTACAATGGATGTGGTTCAGACTTATATTTCCCCCTGCAGAAATGTGGTATAAGATCATTCAATAAATTGTTCCCCAGCAGCTGCTTACCTGCTTCTTCTTCTAGCTGCCACTTGGGCATATTACTCACACTGAGCTTGAACGTAAGCAATGAGTGTGTGGAAGGAAGCTTAAAGGAGGAACTACATGAGAGACCAGAGGAAAATTGGTATCACTGCAAGCCCAGGAGTCATTGGCGTTCAATGAAAGGAAAGGCAAATGTCAAGCATGAAAGCATCACAAGCTCATTCAAAACGTGCCTTCTTTTAAGGCTGCCACAGAGGCTTTCCTGTGGTCAGCACTGCATACTTTAAAAATGAGAACAGCAAAGGGAGAGGGAAGGAAGCATTTGCATTGGCCTTCAAAACACAGACACCAGCAGTAGGAGTAATTATCAATCCACAAATACTGCCATTGAGTGTACATGTTTTCCAGAAGACACTATGAGAAATGCCCACAGGTGGAGTAGGGAAAGATCATCAGCTCCATCTTCCAGGTGCTGGAAGCATGGAAAAATGGCATCTGGCTCCTGGGCCATAGGAGAGGTAATGCAGAGGGCAAGAATACACCATGACTGGAGCCCGGGCAGTATCCTGACTCCACAATAAGAAGGACTGGGTTGCATAGATCTCCGTCATGAAAACATACTTGCCTCCAACTGGAAATTCAACCCACTGATGGATACCCAGTTCTTCAGCACACTCCTCAGCTGAGCAGCCAGTCTCGCTCTTTCTTTCTCCTCCTGTTGCTTCTCTAATGGGAACTTACATGACATGAAAACCTTTCCATTTACTTATTTCCAAAGATTAGATTATAAAGAAATGAAGATTCTCTCCATGTGCCATAGTAACATCCTTCCTAATGGGAAGCCTGTGTGAAGCACTGGGAAATGCCTGTTTGAGTCATGGCTCACTTGCAGTCCTCATTTTACAGACAGCAGCCAAATCTAGCAGATTCTCATTTCTGGATCAAAAAGCAGGTGTTTATAATCAGACAGTGAAGAAAAGAAAAAGAAAAAAAAAGCTGCCAGGCAGACCCTTCATGATGAGCCAGGCTAATAAATTAAAGTGCTTACAGCTTAGATGAGAAACCTCTGATGAAGAGAGATTTCTGAAGGAAAGGGTACACACTCACTCAATGGGATGAAGTGCTAGCTCCCCCTGAAAGCCAGGTGGCAATGTACTGCCTTGGGGACCACTTGTGTTTAAGAGTTGGCTATAAGGTCTTTTAATCTCACTTTTCTACCCTTGCAAGACTCCATCTGTGGTTGAACAACCACTGTAGGTGCTGGAGGCTGTCCCTGAGGGGGGCATAAAATGTAACTGGGAGTAAATTCACCAGGAAATGTTTCGGGGCTACAAGTCTGAGGAGGTTTTGTAACACTGTCCTGCACAGTCTTAAATGGATATTCACACTATACACATAAATTCCCTGGACTTCATTCACTGTGGACATTCTGCTTTTCATCTCCTACATGAGACAACATCTCATCGTGCTGATTTTACATCTTTTCCATTTTTCTTTTTTCTTTTTCTTTTTTTTTCCTCCTCCTTTCATTAACTTTACAGGGACCATTTCCTACTTTGTAAGATATTGTTTTCTTACACAGCTCTGTGAAATGCATGCAGTAACAGTGGTGGGCAGACGGAAGGCAGCAGGCGCACTTTGGCTGTAAAGCTAGACTGATAAAAAGCTTTCTTGCCCTCTAGCTACCAAACTAAATGCAGCCTTCCCTATCTCCAGAGCACCTGCGTAAGTGCCATGATGTCCTGAGACACAGCTGGTTGCTGGCTGCCCTGTATCTGTCCAGATCCACCTGTTCATTACCATGGAGAAAGCTGATGTGAACTGGGAGTTCCCTCCATTGTGAAGGTTTTCTGGATGCTTAGCACGAAGAACAAAAGCTAGATGTATTTCAGGAAGCTTAAAACTGATTTCCCAATTATAATTTAGACCAGGATGCATAAAGAATTTAAACTACCGTAACTA